AAAAAAAATAAATAAAAAATACAAGGGTGTTTGGAAGCAATCAGCCCTAGGACACCATGGCCTTTGAGACCAGAACAACTAGATGGTGCCTGGCTACCAATGCCAGCCACTCAGGAAAGGATCACATCTGGAGACCCTGGATAGAGTGGGAGGAAAAACGTGGAACAAAATCGAGCTGCTCTCTGGAATCTGTTCAGCTCTTTTATCTTGTCATTTCTTCCATTTGCTCTAGCTATTCTCTGCTCAAGGGCAAGTTTCAGGGTCTCTTCTGACATCCATTTTGGTCTTTTCTTCCTTTCTCATGTTTTTAATGACCTCTTGCTTTCTTCATGGATGATGTTCTTGATGTCATCCCACAATTCTTCTGGTTTTTGGTCATTGATGTTCAATGCGTCAAATCTATTCTTTAGATGGTCCCTAAAATCAGGAGGGATATATTCAAGGTCCTATTTTGGCTCTCGTGGACTTGTTTAATTGTCTTCAACTTCATGTTGAACTTGCATATGAGCAGTTGATGGTCTGTTCCCCAACCAGTACATTGTCATTTACTAGAGTCTATCCTTTATTTGGATCTCCTTAGTTTTTACCTAATGTTCCTGAATCCCACCCAGGACACAGCATGGCATGGAGTTCTCATGTCTCCTTGGGCTCCTCTTGGCTGTGACAGTTTCTCAGGCTTCCCTTGTTTTGGTGACTTGGACAGTTTTGAGGAGGACTGGTCAGATATTTTATAGGCTATTCCTCTGTTGGGAATTGTCTGGTGTTTTTCTCATGATTAGACTTGAGTGATGGGTCTGAGACAGGGAGACCATAAAGGTAAAATGCCATTCTTGTCACATCATATAAAAGTACAGGCTAGAAGCATGACTCATCACTGTTACATCTTAATCTTGATTACCTGGCTGGAGCTGTGGTTATCAGGCTCTTCCACTGTAAAGCTCCTCTTCCCCCCACCCCTTTCCATACTGTACCCTTTGAAAGGAAGTCACTATACACAGCCCACACTTAGGGAGTAGGGAGTTAGGTTATTCCTTGAATTCTCCTATGCACGAGATTTGTCTGTCCTCATTTATGTATTCAAAAAGTTATTTGTCTTAATGTGGACTCATGGATATTCATTTTCACTTTGGGTTATAATCCAATTCCACTTTATTTGGTTGCTCAAATTGTTTCAGTGTTGGCCATTGGGAGTTCTTTCAGTTGGTT